TATTTTTTCGCATTTTTATTGTATTTGTTCGAAGTTTTGGTGCTCTTTGTGAAAATTGCCAAAGGCAAAGAGATTAACTGACCATGAAAAGAACAGATAGAAGCATTTTCTTCAATAAATATTCGTGCTTTTGCAATGAGAAAGAAAGTTCAAGAGCAAAAATTTAAGGGGAGTTCAAGATCAAAGACACTAGTCAGTAAGTTCAAAAAATTGAAAGACAGTAATGGTAAAAAGGGATGTTGAAAGAAGAAGCCGTGTCCTCGTGAGATGAATGACGATATTACAATGGTATAAAACACACACCTAACTTTATCAAAATCTAGTTTCTTCTATGAAAACTAGAGTATTAGAAGAAGATAGGTAGTGTTAATTTTTAATATAGTTACAGAGGAATGAAATGCAGAATTTAACGGTAAAAGATCAAAACAAAGCGTACTAAGGAAAGGTGATCATTGCTCTAATGTAACTCTGGCGTAAAAAAGGAAGGAAAGATCTGGGGCTGACGGATCCATGTTAGCATACTACTGATGAGGATAATATGACGAAACGACAGAAACATTCCCTAAGAATCAAAGATTATTGTTTGTTTTTAAATTCCTATCCTACATTAATAAAAATGCTACTGATGTTTTTTTTTTTTAAAGTTAACTTTATTTTTTGGCAAATTGATGACAATTTAAAGTTATTAAACGAAGGAATACAGATTTTTCCATTATCCACGCGTCTACCTGAAGTATGCTAAGTCCAGCCATTACCTCGTATTCATAGAAAAATATTCACAAAGATATTTGTTTTGCATTATTTGAGACAATTACTTTTTTGACCGCATCACGGAAGTATTTTTCATTTATGAAGTTTGTCATAAAATACATTTTGTTTCAAAATGCTTTTTTTTTCTTCAAATATGCTTGTTTAAGCATGACTTTAAAACCGAAATTCCTAATATTTTCTTACGAAAATTGAAAAATATAATTTTAGATTTAATTGAAAAACGTCATTTAATGCAGATTCTTCAATAATAAAATATTTTTTGATTTGTTTCACCAGGTTAACTCAAGGAACAACATAAACGGCATTTAGGCGCAAGGTCCACGTCTATGTGTCGTGTTTATTTTGTTTATAGTTACGCTTTTGTAACATTTTTATGAAAATATATATGTTAAAATCAACGGTAATAGAAATAAATAGCGAAAGTTAGGTCTTTTTAGAGTAAAATTAATGGAGAAATATGTCAAATTTTGACTATAATGAGTTGGCATGCCTGATCAGTGGCAGCTATGTTTTGTTAACCTTTATTTTGTTTAATTGAACTTCTTAAAAAATGTGTTTCTCTTAATCTAACGTAGTCATTAAAAAGACCAATAAATAACAAAATGTAATTATTTTAACTTTGGTACAGGCTTGTGCATGCTGATTAATATCGATTTATTGATTATTTACTTTTCTATTTTCTACCCCGTGCGCTGAACTGGTATTTAGATTGTAAATAAATAAAAAAATTTAAACTTGAGTGTTTGTCTGGATAATACTGATGTAACTGTGCAATGTTAAGGTGTGATTCAAAATGGGAATCAATAGAATAAGCAGTAAATACAATTATTACATTAATATCAATAAAAATTGA